GAAAACAGAAAGAGCCAGCAACACAGTGAAAAAACCCGCTTAAACGGTTGCTATCGAAGGAGAAGCCAGAAGCAGAGAATGGAGAAGCTATCTACATTAATGGCGAGACGAAATATGATGATGCAGCAACAATTGATCAGACTCCCAAAGCAAACAGTAGAAGCCAACGGTTCATTTGCATACAGTGGCATGAATAAAAGGAGCAATGCAACTATATGATTTTATTAGTTACGAAATTTCAATTTGTGATTTTGAATTTTGAACAAGGCTGATGTTCTTAAACTCTGCAAGCTGATGATGAGAGACGGAAACTAATGTTGAAACAGTGAATTTAAACACCTTTGGTGAATGACTTAAGGCGACACAATGTAACGATGCTTCATTCGAACAATCTTCAATATAAAAAGAAATCGGGAGAACAAACGCCAGGAATGAATGAACGAGTAGTCACTGTCGGCAAAGAAAACAATCACGGTTAGCAATAAGCATTTTCAAGCAAAAATAAATGGCTAGCGCACTGACTGGCGGTATGGAGTTGCGTTTTTTGCATAGCTTTCCGCAGATTTTTGTCGCTAACGGTGCTATTTTTTCCGGCAGATGCTTCTAGCTAAAACAATTAAGACTGGCCACAGGAAAATTTCAGCTTTCTAGCTTTCCTGATTCCCGAGTTAGCAATTTACCCGCCAAAAATTTTGGCAGGCTCCTGTGGGAGAACCAAATGAGTAAGGGTGCCCATTCTGAGGATGGAGGCTCCTACGTGCGTGTAGATTAAGTTCCCAAAGTCTCAGCCCCTTCGAGTTGAAAAATCGGTACAGACACAGACACATACAGAAACACACACAAACAGTCCTTCATTAATTTGCGTTTTCTGCACTGTATAGATGCAAAAAATGCATAAAAAGCTGAAGCAAAATGAAATCTGCTTTAAATCATTTTAGGGGCAAAATTTTTGTAATTTGACATAATTTTGAAGATCACAGATATTTTTTTTTGCCCTCTCTGTTTCTCTGCAACAAATGCTAGCATTGCAGGATTTGCTTCGATGGTCATTCCCATATACATAAGTGAAGGATCGCCTGCAAAAATTCGTGGTAAATTAGTAACAGTATATCAGTTTATGATAGCATTTGGATTCACAGTAGCTAATGCAGCGGCAGCCTGGTTTGCACATTATGATCCAGAAAATATTGGCTGGCGCTTGATGTTTTCATTTGCTGCTCTACCTGCTGTCGTACAGGTAGCAACACTTGCAGCTGTATTTAGTCAGAAGCTGAACTTCAAAGACTCAGTCATATTTTAGCTTCTAAAAAATACAAACAGAACAAAGTGACCGGCTTCATAAAAAGGCTCTTAATGTTCTAAAGTTTTTTATAAATCCGCTTATGGCGAGATCGCGCCTTTGTGTGTGTGTGTGTGTGTGTGTGTGTGTGTGTATGTTTGCATGTTTGCGCGTATGTTTATGTTAAAAGCATTGATTTGCAAGTGGACTTTTTAGATTTCCTATTTATATTAAGGCCTGGCTTTGTTGTGCCCAGCGTGTGAAACCATCGTGGTAATATAAGTAT